TGTTGGGTCTCTGAATATCCAACTGGATCTTGTCCATAGTATTATTGATGGAAACATTTGATGCAGGACTGAGATGAGGTTGGTAGCTGTATCACAATATTCAGTGCCTTTGAAAAAGAGCACAGAACAAAACCAAAAACCCAACTAACACACTCCTAATGGTCCCTCATTTTGACAGACTGAGAACTATAACACAGCCAGGGTTAACACGTCTTCAGTGTGTGCCTGCTCCCTGCTTGGGAGCTGAGCGTTGGGGGGGAACTGCATAGGCTTTCTTACTTTGTAGCTGAACAGGAGATCACAGAATCACAGTCACAGAATCACAGAATTGCCAGGGTTGGAAGGGACCTCAAGGATCATGAATCTCCAACCCCCCTGCCACACGCAGGGCCACCAACCATCCCACCTAATGCTAGACCAGGCTGCCCAGGGCCCCATCCAATCTGGCCTTGAACACCTCCAGGGATGGACGGGGCATCCACAGCCTCTCTGGGCAGCTGTTCCTTACCCCAGCCATTGTACACTGTACAGTGTTGCATTCCTGAGCAATTCACCTCGAATGTCACTCTTCCAGAAGAAGAAAGGATGTCATTATTGGGCTGTGAAAACATGATATTTGAGGGGAAAAAAAATGCTTCAGCCACTTTGGTTATAGATTTCTGCTTAAACAATAAGACGACACTTGCTTCTGGCTAGAGGCTTGTTTCCATAAGATAGAATAGCTAAATATAGGCAGAGATTCAAAGTCCTTGCTTTGAACTCATTTTCCTCATCTATTTCAAATAAAGCAAGATTAGAAATCTCCCATGTGCTGTGGTGCCACTTGTGCAGGTGGTGCATGATGCCTGCTGGCAGTAACTGAAGAGCTGAGGGCCTGTGGTTGCCTTTGTTAAGGATGACATTCTTAGGTCCTTCCATCATTTTATCCCATCAAGAAGAGTAAAACGGAGCTCCTGTTTTCATTAGAATCTTCGTCAGTCTCTGTCTTGTGTTTAGCTTGTATCCAGAGAGCTGCTTCCCTCCTGGATTTCAGATTTTGCAGTCTGAATTTACTGAACTTGAGGCTTCTCTTTATAGACTAAACAGAGCCAAATGAGAAAGACTGGCTGCTTGCTGCTGCTCTGCAGCTGGAGCTAATGATGTGAAAATATGCTGTTAGTAGTTGAATCTTCATCTTGGGTTGCTTAAATATTTGGTGGAAATGCTGTGTTTATAGCAATTGCATCATAACAGGGAGAACAGCTGAAGTGGAGTTGGTGTAGGCAGCTGCTTTTCTCAGAAGATTCTTCTGCACTGGCTCATTCCCTGGGACAGTCCCTACCAAAGCTGAGCTGTACATCAGAAGGAAGTTGACTGTATTTGCATGTAAGGAAAAAAAATATATATATTTTTGTGCAAAACTCAAAATGAGCTGATCAGAACAACAAACTTGCCTTACTATAAACCTGTTGTGTGTGACTGAATGGTCACACATGAGAGCAGATGGAAGGGTCCATCACTAAGCAAAAATCCAGTCATGATGAGGGCCGAGCATGTTCTTCTTAAGTTCTTGTGCTGTGGGCCTAGACTTATATCCTCTGCTGCTTTTTCATGGCAGGTAAATGTTGGAGAAAGTTGTTTTTTTCAGAAATGGCTGTCACTGGGGCTGTCTGCTTAGTATTTTTCCATCTAAAACATTCTTTCCCTGGGAGCTTTTGCAGCTAGCTTGTTTCAGAAGTCTTTCACTCCATTGAATTCTCTGGTCTTTGTTCATGACTTTGCTATTAACTAGTCATGCAGTGACTTGAAGTTAAACTGATAATACCAGCTTCCTATGACTACAGCAGCGATGGGGAAACTGGCAAAAATCAGAATGGGGTTTAAAACGATGCTTAGTTATGCTGCTGTCTGTTTTTAAACAAACCAGATGTGGGTTTCTTGCTGGTGGGACTTAGGTTTTAGCCCAAAACAAAACACGGTTCTCAGGTAAGAGAAAGGAATGTCAATTGGAGTGCTTTGCTAAATGGCATGAGTGAATGCAACTATTGAAAACTGGGGGTTTTCTTATTTTTTTTCTTTCAGCTGTAATGCTGCAAGTAAATCACTAACTGTTATGGATTTTTGGCAGATGTCATTTGCAGTAGAGACTGTTTTCTCTTCTGGAAAGGTAGTGTTTACTTCAAGGTCTCATTCTGTTGTATTTCACGAAGCAAAATATTTCTTCTGCTGGAAACAGTGATCAAACAGTTAACTTACTGGTATTTTTGTTGTGAATCATCTAGTGTCTTTCACTGATGCTCCAGGGGATCACCCTCAGTGATTTATCCTCCAGTGCATATCCTATTTGCTTTTCTTTTATAAATGAAGAATGATGTCCTGCTAAAAATGGTATTCTATAACAAAACTTACCACACTGAAGCTTGCAAGTAAAGTAAATATGTACAAATCTTTGTCAGGGTATATATGCACGTAGTGAAATAGAATATTTTACTCTTTCATTTGACCTACAGAATGCCATCCTTACCCTGCAGCTACTCCGAGTGCTCTTGATTTGTTCTGTGGCTGCCACCCGTGAGGGTGGGTGGTGTGATGGACAAACCAGCACTTGGAAGGCTTTCCCAGTCCGATTCAACCTCTCTCCTATTTAAAAACATTCCTTTCAGGTTTGTGTAATTAACATCTAGGAGAAGTTGTTCTCACTGAAGTGCATTCTGCATAGTGCACGTCATGGGGTCGCTGCCAGTTGTTCACTCAGCTGATGCTGGGCTGCAGCACTGAGCTTTAGCCCATGGCTGGGAGCTGTGGAGGTGCTGCTCTGTTCCCCCCACTTGCCTGGGGTAGGTAAGTACCCAGCAGCAGGGAGAGGTCCTGGTTGCCCTCCTTCCAGCAGGAAGAGCACAGCTCTGATGTAGGTGGAGGGAAAGTGGGTGGCTCTCCTTGGCTGGTTAGGAAACGCTGCTTTTATGTAATTCTTTGTCACACTCCAGTGATGTGTGAAAAATAAAGCATGGGTGTGGGCATATCTTTCCATTAAGAGAATCTGGGAGCTCAGTGACTGGCATAGCTGCTGTGTGTTTCTGTACTGAGCAAATGGAAGCCAAACCTGAGAACGAGCTCCCATGTTGTGCTGGCTTGACAAAGCACTCAGAAACCAGCACTACACTCCTGAAATCAGTGTTCCCCACAGAAACAGAAAACTCTGGGGTTCTACACTATTGAAAATAGTGCACAACGCTGATCCTTGATGCTCAGTGACACTTGGCAGTGAATTGGTGAGCGTTGCAGTATCACCTATTGATCCGTTGTCCTCCGGTGTGGTTTTTGTCCTTAAAAGCTTTTGTTGCCACTGAACTGTAGCACTGCCTTAACAAGTTCTAAATCTGGAATTGAGGTTTCAATCTATGTGAAAAACATAGTTTCCAGAAAGCAGGAGATCCTCTTCAGCCTGGCAGAGGTTGAGGGTGTCATTCTAAATCCCGAGTCCTATACTCTAATTATTGCTCTAATATCTTGCCAGATTTTGGGACGTATAAACATCACATGAAGATAAGTGCTCTACAGAACAGGAATAACCAACTGTGTATCGTAATGGGAAACAGAGGTTGTAAGACTTAAAACCACTGGTGGGGGTAACCTGAGTAAGCCAAGAGGGTGGTGAGGATGCTGAAGTGACATTGCAGTTGCAGGAAGTCTTGGTTCGAAGCTGAAACAAAAATTGCTCTAATGTCTTCATTAGGTTGCTCTGTGTGTAGTGCTGGGCCTATCATGTTTCTCATTTCTTGCTTTTCATCATTTGAAAACAATCGATTCTATTACAGTGTAAGCTCTTAACCTTTTTTAATACTTGATTTTATCCAGGCAAATAAAACTCAAGATTGTTGATGTTGTCTAGACTGGTAATTTAAAATCTAATTGAAATACTCAAAAATAATTTTCCATTCCTCTAATGCAATTAATATAAACTGTAAATCTTCTTTAACAAGCTTAATTTGGAAACTTTACACACCGTTTGGAACAAAAGATATTTGTTACTATTTTTCCATCAGCATAATGCCAGCAGGCCATGACAGACCTGGGAAAAGTACTGTTTACTCACGTGTGGAAGAGGACTGGTCTCAATTTCTTTGGTTCCTAATGATGGTTGGCATTGCTGCTGCTCAGCTAGGCTTTCATGCAGCTTACTTAAGTGTTTTAGCTGTGTGCCTTTATTCTATGTAATCGGAAACTCTGGGGTCATCTGGCTTCTCACCATTGTGTGTTTGTGAACTAGAGTGACTATTTTAGCTTAGTAGAAGGAAGTCCTTCCTCACAGTAGTTTTTAGTTCTTTGGGTGGCAATTGGAGAAGTGGGATTTTCTCTGTTGAAATATTGCGATTAATACAAATTCAGAAAAGCAAAATACATTTCTTGAATCATGCTGAAGAAGGATTTAATAATGCTTTCGTTTGGAGGTTTGTCTGTGTTACAGCATAATGCAAATAGTAAAGGCAGGTAGTAACTGGGGGTACAATCATTTACTGTTTCCAGTTTGGTTAGCATCAGCATTGCCTGGTCAGCCCTCCTTGTAGAGGATTCCAAAGCTTATTTCAGTCATCTTCTCATAGAATTTTGTTGAGTCTCATTATCTTTGCTGTTGTCACACAAGTTAAGAGCTTGGAAACACTTTGACAAAGTGAACACACAAAAGTGTGTTAATATCAATGGCAGGTGATTTTTTTTCTAATGCAAGAGCTTCTCAATTGTGTGCAGAATGAAATGTTCTTGTGGTGCAGCTTATCTTGAACTGGGCCTTGGATGGCAGGGCAGAGATCCCTCAGTAAGGATCCTGCTGTAATAAAGAGCTCTGAGCGCTGACACTCCCTGGTCGCCTGGCTTATATCTATGCTAAGAGTCTTTGTGGGTGTAGATGCTGGCTCTGGCCCTGTCTAGTTACTGGGAACTGACTACTTGCTTGCCTTCCCCGCCCTCCCCTTCAACTATTTAGCCTTTATTTCTGCTGAGGTTATTTGTTTGTTTTTCAGATGAGACCCTTTTTGCTCTTCCTGCTACATCTGCGCCTCTGATGCACTCCTCTGCAGGCAAGTTCTTTCTGCTCACCTTTGTCTGAATACATCCTGTATTTCTGATCTGATCTCATGAACTCTTTCTGATTACTCCTCATTTACTAAAAGTCAGCGTGGGTCCAAGAATAGCTTCTCTCATTTTCAGTTTTGAATTTTTTGATCCATTCAAGATTTTAATGGCCAATCATTTATTTACATGCTAAACTGTTTTATAAACATACTACAGCCATCTGTGAATTCTTGGACCCTTGATGTAAGAGAGAAGTTGATACTGTTAAGAGGTGAATACTTTAAAGCATAGCTGCTTTATTCATTTAGCAGAAAGATGTAATCCGTAGTAACTTTCTGCAGTACTTGATGTAAGTAAAATCTGTGCATACATGTTAGTGGTTTCTGTTTGTTACTCTGTCCACCAAATTCATGTTATTTAAAAAAAAAAAAAGGTGGGGGACAAAAAAAGAATTCTTACAGGCATGCATGCTTGTGCATATGTTATTGTCCAAGCATACACACACACCCTCTTTCTGTTTCATCTTTTTTTTTTTTTCCCTCCCCCCACCTTGGGAATGTTGCCTGCTGTACCTGGATGCTCTGTACTTGTCTGGCATCTTCAGCTTTACTGTGATCTTTGCAATGCAAAAAGTTGCTGCTTCTCTAACTTCCCGTACTTCTCTGCTAGAAGAGAGGAAATAGAGTAGCATTTTTTAACTGATACTTTGTTTTGTTGGCTAGTAATATTTATGATAGAACTCAGAAGTGCTTCTTCATAACTTAACATCATGTGAAAACCTGTCATGAAAATTTGCATTGACTTTAAGAACACCTGCATTTTCTAACTTTCCTTTCTGTCCCCATGGTCACAGAAAAAGTTGTGGACTTGCAAGAGCAGCCAGGTAGCACTAAGTCACTTGGTCAAGAGGATTTTTCTGCAGTCCCGCTTGATACTGCTGCTTCTCTTCTCTCCTTCTCTCCTCTCTCAGCTGATCCCTTTAAAGAGCACACAGCCTTTGATTCACTCTCAGATGGATTACCTGCAAGAGGCATTTACAAAGAAAGTGCAAGTGAGGTTTGTAAAGAAACAATGGAAAATGTAAGAAATCCATTCCTTGCAGAGGGAAATAAGAGAGACATTTCCGAGATGAAATACTCAGAAATGGAACCCTCGCTTACTAAAGCAGAAGCAGCCATTTTATTTCAAGCTGAAGAAGAAATGCAGCTAGAGGGCCCTAAAGAATTGTGTGATCTGGAGAAAATGCCTGCACAGCCTCTGAGTATGTCTCCAGAAACTCCTAAAGATTTGTTTGAGAAAAACGAGGAAGATATCTTTTCTAGCGAAGACAAAGGCAGAGATGGTGATCATGGTGACAAAAAGGCACTGAAAGAAGATGCTATTCGAAGGGAAGAGTATGTGGACTTCAAACCGTATGAGCCAATATGGGAAATAAAAGGTGCTGGTCATGGACTGAGCAGCTTGAGAGAGGATGTTGGAAGTAAAATAGATGGCAAACTGGAAACCAGTTTAGATGAGAAATATGATGTAGATAAGCTGACAGTGCTGAAGGATTATGAAAGAGACAGTGAAGGCAGTGCTGAAGATCTGTCTTTCCCGAGTACCCCAGAAGCTGTAAAAGAACCTTCACAGAATTACATCACCTGTACTAAATCTGAATCCTCTATAACTCCTGATGGTAGCAAAGTCAAATCTATTTGCCCAGTAGAGGAAGACGCTTCAGAAAATAGAACTGATGACGAGAAAAAAATAGCAGAAATGAAAGCTCAGAACACAGAACAAGGTGATTTTAGCTCTCAAGCAGTTGGCAAGCAGGAAGGCCTAGAAGCTGACGATGCTAAAACAGATAGCGTATCAACACCGCTATCTGACACTGCAGCAAGTATGCCTGAAGGTCTCACTCCTGATCTTGTACAAGAAGCTTATGAAAGTGAAATGCACGATGCGGCGTGTACAAAACTTGCTTATGAAACAAAGATTGATTTAGTTCAAACCTCCGAGTCGGTGCAAGAGACTCTGAAACCTGTGACACAACTCTGCCCCTCATTTGAAGGTTCAGAAGCTGCCCCGTCACCAGTATTGCCTGATATTGTCATGGAAGCCCCGCTGAGCAGTGGGACAGCTGGTGTGGAAGCATCTACTGTGCAGCTTGAAACTTCTCAATTAGGAACATTTGTTACTACTGCTAGTTACGAGAATGTAAAAGAAGAGGCTGAGAAACCTCCGCTATACCAAGAGGCGGTGAATATGCCTTTGACACAGGCCCAAGAAGCAAAAGAGGAGCCGACACTTAAAAAACCTGATCGTGAGAGTAGCACCAGTCCTGAAGATCTAGAGACTCCATATATATCTATTGCATGTGACTTAATTAAGGGAACCAAGGTCTCTGGTGAATCTGCTTCTCCATCCTTAACAGATTATTCCACAACTCCAGTAACAGAACACGTTTCTCAGGATGTGCCTGAACACAAGGAACTTGTTGAAAAACTGTCTCCGCAGTTTGGAAAATCTGACTTGTTTAATCGCCAGGTGATACCTGACTTCCCTGGGAAAGAAAGTGAAGATCAGACTCTCATGTTAAATAGTAAATCAGTTGAGAATATTGAAACTGCTGAGGAACAGGAACGACCGGTGGATTCATTGGCTGCGACTGGTAAGCCCTATTTGGAGTCTTTCCAAGCTGAACTAGACTCTTCCAAAATTGTTAGCGCTCAGCCATCTGAGCCCACACCTGCAAAAATAGCCAAGGCAGAGAAGATTCCACTTCAGATGGAAGAGCTGAACGCTCTGGCTTATTCAGCTGATGCATCTATTGCTACGGAACCAAAACCAGGAGATGGCAAAGGTCTCTCACCTATTGAGTCTTCTCCCGTCTCAGTAGAAGATGACTTTGTGATGCTAGTTGATCCTAAAATTGGTCCTGGGTTTGTGGCAGAAGTCACTGACAGAGAAACAGTGCTCAAAAACGAAAGCAAAGAGATCAGTAATGAGATCAGAGATGAGAAGAGGCAGTTGCCTTGCCCAGGGCTGCCCTGTGATCTGTCTGTAAAGAATGTAGAAGTGAAAGCTGAAGAAGATGCTCATGCCTTGAAAAAGTCCTTGCAGGCTATGGACAGAGAAGTGCCTGAAGTATCCATGGTGTCCTTACCAGCCACAGATACCTCACCTATATCTGCTGAAAAAGAAATAGTCAGTGTAGGAAAGCCAGAAGCTTTTGAGAAGGAAGCTGAGAGAGGAGCTGCTTCTGCTAAAGAAAAGGAAAAACCTACTGCAGTCTTTTCAGCAAAGCTGAATATATCTTCAGGTAATCTGTGTACACTGTCTTGCAGTTCACTAATCTCCATAACCTTTAGCTACACTTACGCATGCCATGACTTACTCTTTTTTTTTTTTTAAGTTATTTTCTGTAAACTTCCCTATTTAAGCAGAGGATGACAAAATAATGTTAGAGCTGCACCTTTACCTTTTCCACATTCTGACCGCTTCAGTACTTTTTTTTATCATGTTTATCAGGAATGGACTCACTGTCTTCAGTTGTCTTCAGTTCTCCTGCTGGTGATCTGTTGGTGCACAAATAAGTTGCTGCTCACTGTAAGCTCTTCTGTGACTGTCTACAGGCTGAGCATTAGAGGCCGTCCAGACTTGCTGTTCACAATAGTAAGCCAAGGGTGGTGTCTCAGTCTACTCCACATACACAAGAGGCATTTTTTCTTTTCATGCAGAATTCAGTTAAACAGCAGGCTTCAAAGCTTAGGAAAATCTTTTCTTCTGTGGTACTTGCAGCTTATGCCTGGAAAACAACATGCACAGCTCCACTTGATTTATGGCTTGTAGTAGATCCCTGCCAGAAATAAATAGTGCACAAAGGAGCTAAGTGCTCAGCTTAGTAGGAAAGTGACCATTAAGAAGTTGAGTATCCTGCAACCACTAAGATCAGTTTACACACAGCACAGATAATTTCCAAATGGAACTTTCATTTCAGTGTTTGGTTGTTTTTTTTTTCAGATACCATTGTGTTGTTTTAAGTAGAAGAGAGTTAAAGAAATTCATTCTAAACTGTACGCATAATGGAGTTCCAGCTTCCTATAGACTGGAGAAGTACTTTTCTTTTTGATGTTGTGGTACTCTGCTGCTGAACAGAGCTGTACTTCTGTGATGTGCCTGAAGATTCTAACAAGACATAAATCCATTATTAAAATCAGTTGTCTGCTTTTACTACCAAACTACTCCCAATTAGCAGGCAGAGTAATGGAACAAAGAACTAACAGGCAGTTAGTTCTCAGAGTGTCCTTTCACTCTGAGAAAGGACAGATAATTCATCACAGAGCCAAGCAGTGGATCTGTGCTGCGTGTGTTCTTCTGAGCCTTGCTTTTTTTGTGCTGTCCTCAAATACTTACTCATTGGTGCTGCTTGTTGTAAGCCAACCAAAATGCAAACACACCTCTGTGTACCTGAGAATGTACCTTCTGACAGCTCCAGAAAGCTGCAGGGAGACAAAAGAAATGGTTGCGGATTTATTTAGTTATTAAATACACTCCATGATTCCAATAAAGCAAACAGAGCTTTGAGCAACCTCACTGGCAGGTCTGGGTTTAATGCTGTATGGCGGATACTCAGGTAGCCTGGTGTGTTTCATGAGGGTGCCAGAGCACAGGGACCTGGTACTTCATGGTGGCACAGATGTGGAAAACAAACAAAAATAAGTTCCGAATCAGTTTGGGTTTAACTATGGAGAAACCTGTCCTCATGCAAGTAGTTCCAACTTACAGCAGTTTCAACAGACCACTTCTTTTTACCTTACAACACCAGCAGCTGCTGCTGTTAAACACTTGCGTGCCATTTTCAGAGATCTTGCCAGCTGTGCCTTTTTTCCCATCCCTTTCTCATATATGCTGTACTTGGCTTCCTAGCAGATAACCCTGCTGCTTTGCTCTCATGCCAGCCGGACTTTAAAACCCATTTCTGGCCTCCATAAAACTACTGTGTACGAAGGTTGACTTCAGCATAGGCTTTGTTGTGATGCTGCACTGTGGCACAGCAGGCATGGCTCCAGCCTCAGGGTGTGGGCAGGCAGCAGTGACTGTTGGGAGTTGCTTTAAGGCCTGCTTATAAAAGAGGATTTGGATGCCATCTAGTGCTCGGAAATGAGCACTGACTCAAGTGAAACATGGCTTTCAAAGAACGATATCCAAGGTTTTGGGAGATCTTGATTTAACGTTCCCAGAAGGTAAATGGGTTACATATCTTGCTCCTTTTGTTGTACAGACTTGCTTCACTCACAGTACCTTCTTTACTTGTGCATAGAGATCATTAGTTCTCACAAATAGGGCAGAAAGCCATCTTGCCATAAGCTTATTTTAGCAGATGGAGGTTTTCATGTTACCGGCTTACAAACTCAGAGTTCGTTGCGGGGTCCCCCAAACTGATATTTCTCATCATGATGTCAAGTTGTATGCTGTGCTGTAACCACACAGGCGGTTTTAAGTTACTCCAGATATTCATGCTGAACAGTGCAGGAAGCTGAAAAATGGTTTTGGGTTTTGCAAGAAACCCATTTAATGGTGCTTCTGAAGATCAGTCTCTGTTGACATTTGTTTCTGAATGTGCTGGGGTCAAGTTTCAGCCGCAGAGGCTAACGCACATCTCATGTAGGCTACAGAGCACTCAGTACTTGAATTACAGAAACACAGAGATGTGCATGATACCTTATTTCCCAGATTTTCCTGAGGGGGCAGATGCAAAGGTGAATTCATAGTGGGTAGTGTCCTTTGAGAGAGCAGCTGAGCCCTATTCATGTTGGAGCTTTTTCTTAGCTCCAGTGGTCTTAGAAGCAGAAGTAAAGCACTTCCTATCATTCTGTAACAGCAAACCAGGATGTTGTGGTTATACGAAGTATAAAATGCATCCATTTGGTTCATTCCTGGTTCTTTCCATATTGAAAAAATGGTTGGTTAAGTAGAACTGCACAGCCAGCGAGAAGTGCTGTGTTTTTGTTTGTGTTTCACTGAGGGAAAAATAGCCTGGAATGATGCTGGGCAATTTCCATAAAGAACGTAGTATTTATAAAATACCATTTAATTCAACACGGAATCTTGATTTAATTACATTTGATTTTATTCTCAAATTGCATGTCTGCTCGGGTCTTCTTTTATGCTACTAACTAATAAATGGAGACTTATATTCCAGTGTTGGGAATATCTGAAGGAGTAGGAGGCATTAAAGGAGTCACTTGGAGCAAAATCTCCCTGGGGGAAAGATGTGTTGTTCCATTGGAGCCCTGCTGTTGACAGGCTTTGGGCGTAGTTCAGACCGCAAACAGCAAATGAGGCCTATTGGGTGTGTAAGAATTGTGGAGAGAATTGAGTGCTTGTGGTTATCAGCTTTGGCAGAAACACTGATAGGCAACTGGCATTGGGTGAGACCAGAGCTGGTTCTCATCCAGAACCTTCCTCCAAGGCAGGAGAGCTCCAGCCAGCTGCTAATGGAAAGTCAGTGGGTAAGGCCTGCTCCCTGCAGGTGTGCAGCCCCTCAGAAGAGCGGTGCCTTCAGGATAGAATAGTTATGAACTTGGCTGCATCGCTTTTGGTTGTCTGGGTCACTTGATAGTATCACTGTGCACGTAGCCCTTTGGAAGCTTTATCTTAATGCTGGTACAGAAACATCTGTGTTTCCGTAATGACACGATAAAGCTCACATGGAAGTTTGTTGGCACTCCACCAGCACTCGGTTTTCATGTAGAATAGCATGACGTGGGGGGGCTGTCTGAAAGAAGATGGATACAGGTTTCATTTGGGATCATTTGCTTGGGGTGGTAGGAAGGGAGACTGGACGTGCAAAGGGTGAAGAGAAGAATCTTGAGGATGGAGAAATTCCTGCTGGTGGAGCTGGTGCTGGTGGGAGATGGGCTGGTAACCCATCTAAACTGCCTTCAGTTGCGTATCTATGGCAGTATGGAAAGTTAGTGGGAAGGACTTGCTGAAGGCATACAATTTATTATTGATTTGGTGGCAGTGCAATCATCCAAAGGGTGAGGGGAGAAGCACAGGGTTTGTTGGCTTCGTGTTGTTCAGAATTACAGGTCGGGGCAGGTGGTGATTTTCAGACACGTTTGGTGCTTCCATGCAGTGCAGCTCAATGAGTTTCCTTGCTCTGCAACGTTTGAGCCTTTCCACCCCATGGTCCATGTTCTGATTTGCGTGTCAAAACCGAATGGAATCTGCATCTTTATATAAACTAACGTGTCGGGGTTTTAAGAAGCTTTAGAGCGCTGCTGGGAGCTGTTAGCATTTTTTTTATTTTTATTTTTTTGCCAGTCCCAGGTAGGAAAGAGAAGACTCTTTTTAAGAGACTAACATCAAAGAGCAGTCACAAATTTTTCTGCAAAAGCGGAAAATAGATTGGCATGGTTCTCACAGCTCTTGTAGGCTTTGAGTTTCTGGTTTTGTCTCAGGCCTGTCCAGTGTTTTTTGTAAGTTGGTTCTTAAAGGCTAGCCATATAAATGGGTTGTTTTTGTTTCTGTTGAAGTGAAGAGAGAACTGTCAGATTTGCAGCTGGCACCGTGGGGTGCTGATATAAAATACAAAGGGAGGCGTTGGCTGCAGGAAAGGGGTAGTGTGCAAGATAACCATTCTCAATCTCCGCTCCTTTAAAACGAATAAATGCGGCCCAGCAGCACGACAGGATGCTGTATACCATCAGAAAAATGTCTTTAGCCCTTATTTGAAAAGCAGTCTGCTGCAGGCTGCCGGGCGAGCTGCTGCTCTGAGCCCCCTCCCAGCAAATGGCTGCGGCGGCGGTGCAGCCGCGTGTCGGCACAGCAGCAGGCTGCCTCCAGCCGGCACTGCGTCAGCTCCACGCCCCGCGCCGTCAGCTGACCGCCTCCTGCAGCACCAGTGCAGCAGCGGCTGCAGACGCGGCCGAGGAAGCCCATGTTTGCCATCCCGGGCTGTAGATTTCTCCTCTTGCAGCTGTCCTATTGGTATGCATAATTGATAACCGCAGCTGGAGGGTAGACCGCGTGTGGAGAGATGGACAGTCAGCCGAGCGGTTGGAAGGATAAGGGTATTTGCTCTTTCAACTTTTTTCTCTCTATTTTTTTTTTTTTTCCTTAAGCTAAAGATGCTGCGGGTTGCTTTTAACGAATGGGATTTTTAGCGTGCATTTGGTTGTGGGATGTATGTGAAGGTGGAAGATAGGTTGGTATTGCATGCGGAACGGTGAAGGCTGCAGATTAGAAGAGATGAATGCGAGTGGTGCAGGAAGAATAAATAATTTATGTTGGTGAAGCAGCTTGTGTGGCACTGCAGAGCTCTGCCAGCCCCACTGAGCGTGCTAAGAACAGCTCCTCTGGGTATGCGGTGCACCAATAGCACCGTATCCAAATGTAGTTCATGTTCCTTTAAAATCCGTGATTATTGATAATTTAAAGATATTAACCATTAACTCAAGAGAACGCAGTGTCTGCGGTTCATGTGGTTTGGTCATTTTGTGAGGAGACATTGCACGCAGGCTGCCTGTTTCTCCCTTCGTTATGGTGTGTTTGGGGTCTTGCCTTAATTGCGCTTGCTCAGAGTTGCCCATATTTCTGTGGGATTTAGGTAAAGCTGTGCCTGCTTTCCAGAACGCAGAGGTGTTGTGCTGGGTGGTAAATAAGAAGCTAGCCTTAAATTAGTGTGCTGCTGACCTTTGTTCCTGCGGCCACCAATGGGAGATCCCTGTTGTCAATCTCTGGGGATCATTATTAGTGCTCACTGTGTAAGAGTTTAAGCCTTACCAAATACGTAGTCTCCAAAATTTATCAGCAGGACAACCTTTGGAAAAAAATGTCATAATCTCTGGATACTGAATTTGTTAAAGGTCCCTGCAGTGCTTGGTACTGCTGAACTTTGCCTCTTTTTTTTTTTTAAACAACCATCATTTCAGAGTTGTTTTTTTTTTTCAGTGGAACGGAGTTGCCAGCTGTGTGGGATCCACACAGTGCTCTGTCAGAATCCGTGTAGCAAAAAAAAAAAAAAGCCCTGGGGATAAAAGTTTGCCCTGCAGAGCATGCTCTGAAGTTCTAAGCTTTTGTTAAAGGCAAGTGGATAGTAGGAAGAAAATAACCTGCTGTGCTCAGTCATTTGTACTTAATGAGTCATTACTTTACACGGTCAGTATCTGTATGTCAGGCCTGAAATCCTCAGGGTTAAAAAAATGAAAGGGTGTGTGTGGAAGTGAACAGGTTGGTTAGTTACCTTTAGTTGCTCGGGGCCCCTGCTTCAGGCTGGCTTTTGCAACCCAATGAGCAGCGTTGGCTGCAGTCTGTCCCTCAGTGCCCCTGAGAGCAGACATTTCCCAACCCTGAATGTGAGGCCTCGAGAATAATGGAGCCATTCTTGGATTGAGATTAATGAGTTGCCACTCAGCAGCTTGCCTTTCTCACCCAGGAGAGGACTGAGGGCAGTGAGCAGTGTGGGGATGTGCAGGCTGGACACCTGGGGCTGCGTGCTTCAGTGCAAGTGGGCCTGCTTAGCAAGGAGTGGAGGTGGTATCAGATGGACCAGGCAAACCTGAGCCTGTCCTACATGTAGGTCTTGTGCTGTGTAACTGTGCCAGGTGGTTCAATTTCCTCTTTCGCAGGCCTTTGTTCTTACAGAAGGCATCCCATCAGGTGGAGGAAGCTGTTCTCATGCCTGTTTCTCCCAAGGAAGTCCCTGCTGCCTTGAGATTTAATTAGTGCGCAATTTATGGTGATTTATAAGAAAATGGAAGGTGAAGTAAGAAGTTTTCTGGGGAAGCAGAACAGTCTGGTTCCCCTCCTTTTGTGACTGTGCTCTGGCAGTCGTGCCCCTGAAGACCATCCTTGATACTTTGTTCCTGAAGAGATGTGGCAGTCTTCTTTCATGTTTTCTTACTGTGTAAGGTCAGGCTTCAGCAGCATGGAAAATAATGGCTAAAGTTCAAGGATTGATGACACGATTCGTTTTGTCCCTTAATAGGCACAGAAGCAAATATTGCAACACGCTTGTTTCTGAGCTTAAACATAAACTGAAGAAAACTGGAACAATCAAATCTAAAATCGGAGCGGAACCAAAAGTTAGATTTTTTTCCCCTGAGGTGCTCTTTCCTGCTGGAAATAATCTTACGTTTTGCTTTGGCACACGTGTTTCTTCTGGAACAGCCATGGGAGTTGAGAAAGCGGCGTAGTGAAAGTGGTAAAGCCCCGTACCTGCGGTTATTGATCTCTGAGATAAGCGGGGTGAAACCAGATTACCCACGGGATGGCATGACTTTTATTTTTAGCACTTTTAAGGCCAGGCCCACATGATGTAATCAGTAGTGAAGCGTCTAACATGGGTGATTTGTGTTTTAATTATTTCAATGGAATGTCAGGTTGGTGGCTGAGTAACGGTAAGATGAGTGCCATAGCTGTACTACCAGGCTAGCCCAGGATTTTGATTTTTTTGTTAACGTGCTGAAAATATCTCCAAGTTCTGGCTTAGGTGTGAGAAGTGGTAGAATAGGCCTTGATTTCTGAAAATTTCCTAATGAGCAAACAGGACTTTGGAATGGTCTCCTCAGTTCATGCACTGTGAGTAAGTGCACACATGTATACGTGATGAATAGAAATAAAAGAAAAAATACTGCATTGGCCCATTAAGAATTGTTTCCTAGTGTTTGCATTTTGGGGGAATAACATGGTAGTGATGGATTTCATTTTCGTTCTAGCTTGTGCTTTGTGGAATTGGTGTTGGTTTTTCATTGCTAGGATGTGTGCCAGGTGTAAAACCTGTGGGCTCCAGATTGGCTCTGAGACCTCAGGAGGGTCCAGCTGGGCAAGCGTGTCCATCCCCCTGCACGCACTGCTGCTTTGTGCTGCCTTTGCCCTAGACAGGGAGGGCTCTGTTGGTCATTGCTGGCTCCCCATGCCTGGCACCCCGTGTGGTTAGGCTACAGACTCACTGTTTTTCCAGCCTGGAGTTGTTTCGTTTCATTGAATTTCAGCAAGGCAGTCAAGAACCCAGCTGGCTCCTGGCACATCTGAGTGGGGTAAAACCACTCTGCAACTGCTCCTGCATACAGTGTCAGCCACGATTTAAAACAAGCATACGAAACAGACCATGGGACCTTGTCATTCTGATGTAAGAAATCATTAAAATGTGAAAGCCCACGCCTGCTGATGGTGCCTGTGCTTTGATAGCTTTACCTACGTGGTGGACCGCCACGTTTCTCAGACCTTCTCTGTAGTATGCCTAGATCTGTGCTCGGGTGCAGTGGGGCAGATCAGTCTGTAGGCAGTGTTTGGCAGGACCATAGGGTCAGGGCATTCTGTGCTTTGGCTGCCTGGGTAGCACATTGCTTGCTTTGACTGAATGCTGCTGGGAAGACGTAGAGGAGGCATTATTGCTTTCTACAGTGACCTGAAGGGAGGTGTTGTAGCGAGGAGGGTCAGCCTCTTTTCCCAGGTAAAAGTGATAGGATGGGAGGGGATGGCCTCAAGTTGCACCAGGGGAGGTTCAGGTTGGCCGTTAGGAACAATTCCTTCTCCAGAAGTGATTCTGCACTGGCACAGCTGCCCAGGGAGTGCTGGGCTCACCTGGAGGTGTCCCAGAGCCACGGGGATGTGGCACTGAGGGATGTGGGCACAGTGAGGGTGGGTTGATGGCTGGGCTGAATGATTTTGGTGCTCATTTCCAACCTTAATGATTCTAAACCAGCTTCCACCTGACGTTCCTGTGGCTCCAACCCCAGCAACCGCATCCTACCTGGCCACCAGCTATAGTGACACAAAGCTTTCCTTTGGGCGCACATCTTTCCATGTAGGCCCTCCAAATGAATTGCCCACCTGCAGAGCTGCCTACAGAGGCAGGTGCTGTGGGGCACAGACAGGCTCTGTGCTGGCTCCTTGCTGTGCAGCTTTGCTTTGGGCTCGGATTAAGTTGGATGAGGGCTGGAGCGAGCTTGGAAAGGGGAGCTGCGGCTTCGGGTCTGGGCTGTCAGATGCTCTCCACAGAAGATCTGTAGAGAGCATCTGAAGATCACTGTCATAAGTAATTAAGAAGTGTAATTAGCTTGACCGGAAAGTGCCCCTCTAAAAAGAAATCAGCAATTTACCTATTTGTGGTCTTAATGGCCGTGATGGCAGTTCTGCTTTACGCCATAAAGGCCTTTAAAAGCTGCCCGATCTCTGTAATTCTGTTAAATTTCTGTGTCGGTACCACACTGTTCTTAATCTGATCCAGAAAAGGCTTCTAGCTGCGCTCCTGAGCTGTTGTTACTCTTATTTGAGGAACAGAAAGGATTTCTGTTTACGTTTCAGAGCGCAGAAAGGCTGCGGTGTCATGGCTGCTGCACGCACAGCCTCTCTAAATCACACCCTCCCCGCTTTCTCTTCGCTCCCCTGTTACACAAAGGGTCTTTCTTTGAGCTGAACCCCTTTGTGTGTCCGTTTGCACGTGCCCGGCACCGAGCAGTGCTGATGGCAGCCGGGCTCTCCCACAGCTGCGTCCCGCGGCCGTCGCGCCAGGGCGGCCATTGGCTGCGGGCTGAGGCAGGCATTGCGTCGCTGCGCTGCCCCAGCGCTGCCCCGGCAGGAAGTGAAAGGAGCTGGGAGTCAGCTGCACAAGGGCTGGTGCATGCAGGCACGCTCAAGATGGATGCCAAAATGGGTTAGTCCCTTCTCTTTCGCTTTTACTGAGTGTCTGTGAATTAAACTCTGTGGTAGATCTCGAGGCTTTTAATTTCTCTGTCTGAAAAAGAGAGGATTACTCGGTTTGGGTTGAGGATTATCGGGTTAAATGTATTGAACCGCTGTTTTTTTGTTATCAGAAACTGCATTAAATTGCTCGGTTTTAAGTTAAATGTCAGCGAAAGAAGGAAGAGTCTTGAGAAAAATGCGGTGATAAAACCTCGTGCCGCCTCACGGCACTTGCTTTAAAGGCAAAATGTAATTGGATGAGTTCTGCATGTAAGGCACGGATGCTGGTGGTACTATTTTTAGATATGCCAAGTGACAGTTCGTGCTTACCAAATGTAGACAGCTGCTCTTGC